AATCCGTATATAACGAGTTCTGTTCCCATAAATACACCGTGACAATATCTAATCTCGGCTCGATTTTCTCTTTTTATTCAGGAAATGAATACAGGTGAAACTCGAATAATTAGAATATCGTGCAAAGTTCATTTATTTCACTAATGCAACTTATGCGGTGAAACTAATATATGAGAGAGACTCATTACATGCAAAGCAAGATAATTCAAGCCGTGATTTGTCATCATTGTAATGATTATGGCTTACAGCTCATGAAAACCCCAAATCCACAATCTCAGAAAATGAGAATATTACATGCAATCAATAAAACAAGGATTGTACATAGAACAATATCGGACCTCTGAAAAGTACAAGCATGCATATGTACTCAGTACGGCTTTAATTAATCGCAGTCCATATTCAGATTTGTCGGCCATTGCACCTCCTCGCGGGCCGTGTGCAGCTTTCCAGGCCTCGGTATTGATTAGGCGCGGTGTATGTATACCGACCCGGTGACCAGAAAAACGATTTAGCTGTTATTGGAATCCGTTTGCTTTTCTTTCGTTTTTTGCTTTTTTCTTCATCACGATCATAACGATGATTTGTTTCTTTTTCTATAGACGTCTACCGCTGTAAACTTTTATGTTCTTCTTTTTTTATTGTGATATTGTGGACTTTGTGTTTCAATAAACTCTGGTTATACTGTTTGAACCTCGGCTCATGGTGACGTTTTTGTGTTCCTGTTTGGGCGGAACATTTCTAGACGCATGGTGGCAGGATTTTTTTTTATAGCGCACCTTTTTGTTTTTGTTACATGATGATGTTTGATGTCTTTTTGTACAGGATGTTGGTTTTTACAGCCAGCTAGTTCTCTATGGCGGACTTTGAACTACCAATCCTAACCTGACCGCTAGACCACCGACACACCTGATCTACCTGCCGGTGTTCTGTAACACTCCAACTCCTCGAGATCTCCAACGACCTGACTTCCAGTTTAGTAACACTCCAACCCCTCGAGATCTCCAACGACCTGACTTCCAGTTTAGTAACACTCCAACCCCTCGAGATCTCCAACGACCTGACTTCCAGTTTAGTAACACTCCAACCCCTCGAGATCTCCAACGACCTGACTTCCAGTTTAGTAACACTCCAACCCCTCGAGATCTCCAACGACCTGACTTCCAGTTTAGTAACACTCCAACCCCTCGAGATCTCCAACGACCTGACTTCCAGTTTAGTAACACTCCAACCCCTCGAGATCTCCAACGACCTGACTTCCAGTTTAGTAACACTCCAACCCCTCGAAATCTCCAACGACCTGACTTATAGTTTAGTTAGAAGTAAAAGGTTTGGCCGAGAAGGCTCTACTGCACGTGAGCCAGCCGCGGCATTTCCCTATACACATACTACACAGCAATAAAGTATTAAAATAAACTAAGGTCAGACTAATCCAGCACGTTATTCATCTGAGTTGCCCCACTCAAGCGGCGGCCATATTTAGTGGGGCAACTCAGATGAATAACGTGCTGGATTAGTCTGACCCTAGTTCATTTTAATACTTTATTGCTCTGTAGTATGTGTATAGGGAAATGCCGCAGGTGGGACACGTGCAGTCGAGCCTTCTCGGCCAAATCTCTTCTAACTAAACCGGAAGTCAGGCAGTTGGAGATCTCGACAAGTTGGAACTTTCGATAGAACACCGGCACTAAACCTGTAACTTTACCCGGACATTTAATCTGGCTTTAAAGCTGAACTCCAGATATAAATGATTATGCATGCTTACACTGGTCCTGTTTGGCCCATTGTAAGTATGTCATACCTGATCGTCCACCGGGGATCCTGTTGTAGCGGGAGCTACTACAGTACTGTACAAAATTGTGTGTATCTTCCTGCACTCCTTACCGGATCTCCTAGGAGATGATGTCTGTAATAGGGTGCTTGTAGTGACCACGGAGGCACCGTGTAGTCAAGTAGTAATTCCAAAAGATGTCACCAGCACTCCAAAAGTAGATTCAATATATTTTAATGACAACGGTCATTCAAAATCACAAGTACTTTCGGGGCCACGTTGGGTCCCCGTCATCAGGCTCAGATTCTGAGCCTGATGACGGGGACCCAACGTGGCCCCGAAAGTACTTGTGATTTTGAATGATCGTTGTCATTAAAATATATTGAATCAATCTACTTTTGGAGTGCTGGTGACATCTTTTGGAATTACTACTACAGTACTGGTCACCATCGTCTAGGTCCTGTAATGCACCCCGAGCAGTATGGCTTTACCTCTGTGTAAAAACCCAGGAGGTCACTCGCTCTGCACAGCGGCCATTCAGAGAATGCCTATTATTTTTGATATCAATGAATACAAGGCAATCTATGATTAGACGTAACAAAATTAGACGAGGGGCGGATTGTGCTGTCACCACCCCTTGTTCAATCAGAGAACACCTTGTATTCATTCATCAAAATAACGGGTGTTCTCTAAATGGCCGCTGTGCCGAGCGAGCGCCTCCCTGTGTTTTTAAGAACAGCGCGGAATCCGCTCAGCTAAGCACAGGACCTGATAGATCGCGGCCAGTACTGGAGTAGCTTCGGCTACTACAGGATCTTCAGCGGCTGATCAGGTACAGTATGTCATAAGCACACTTGCATTGGGGCAAGTTGGACCAGTGTACTTGTGCATATCAACTTATACCTGGAGTTCAGCTTGATACACAGATTAAATAAATATATGGGAGTCCTTTTTTCTGCCAAAAGACTTGTATTTGTGTCCAACATCCATTCCAGAGATTTAGGCAGCTCTGCCACACAGCACTATCTGAAAGGACAGGGGGCCTGATTTTTTTTTTCTGTGCTGCAGTTCGGTAACCTTTAGTCTCTATTCACAAGGGGCAACCTGGGATTCCCTCAGCAAGAACCTACATATTCCTGAAGCTGGAATCTCAGGCGTCCCGCGTTCGGATGTGGCTGCTGTACCTATTGAATTAAAAGAGGAGAACTATGGGGTCAGTGCTTTTCCCATACTTCTCCTAAGGGTCACGGGAGGACACAAACTAGCGTCCTCCCGTCACCCTAAGCTCAGTATATAGCAATCTACAGCTTGCGGTATACTGAGACCGCCGCAGCCGGGACGGATCCCGACATTACTGTCGAGATCCACCAAGCTGGGTGATTGACCGCTGACTCGGCCTATCTATAGGGCAGAGCCAGTTGTACCCGCCCCCTCCCCGTACGTTCCGCCGGTCAGCGCTGGAGGATCGGACAGGGGAGGGGGGGGGGGGGGAAACCCGGGGGGGGGGGAACCGTTAGTGACAGTATGGCTCTCTGCTGGGACATGATCGCTCGCTTTCCCATCTATTGAGCCGACGTGTGACAGTTTCGTCGGCTCGAACTATGAGGATGAGTGAGTTTCACTCGTCTCATAGTTCTCCTTTTAAATGTCAGGGTCGGCAATCCGCATGCAATCGGACTCGATATGATTACATGTGGTTCAGGGTAGATTGTCTCTGGATAGATGCGTCCAGCGACAACCATCAATACCGAACCGCACATAATCCTGCAGTGATGCTTCCACCTTGTCATTTACTTCAATGGCCACATCTGAATGGGGGCACCTGGCATTCCAGCCACAGGAATCTGTAGGTTCTTCAGCTGCATGAATCCCTTGTGAATGGGAACCTTACAGGTAGCATAATGAACTTACCTTGCCCCCAGGCTTCTGCCCACAGCACCTAGATAAGGGTGATGTCACATTTCTTCAGCCGAGACCCTGGGGAAAGGCGAGTAGCTCAAATCCTGAGTGGAAATCATTGATCCTGCTCTGTGCTGGAGGGTCATCTCCCAAGATTTTGCTGCTTGTCAATCTCTGGGGTCCCGTTAGAAGGAGAATGACTTCAATGGGATACTTGCTGAGATATGGTATCGGGTCCTGCAGGATTTGTCCCAATGTTTACATGCATCTACTTCATACTGCTGCTCGCACAAGGCAATAGACTGAGTGTGACTATGTGATCCTAACTTTGCTGTCATTGACAAGGGATGCAGACCACACATATCTTGTATCTTTAAGTGGACCTCAAGGCTGGAAGGGGTCTGTAGCTTGGGCACTATTTAGTTAGAGATGCTGAGGACCACCTATAGCCATACATGTCTGGATGTGAAATATGTGACGGTTGGCTCACAGTGAACACATTCCAGCCCTACACATCTCTGTGTCCCAACTGCATTAGGGTGGATTCCACTCCTAGAAGATGTACACAACAACAACAGTTGGATCTTACAGATTGGTTAGCACTATATCCGCTTTTCTGCACAAATACCTCTATTAGAATCAACCTTCGACTATTTCAGTCCAACAAATTTGTCTAAAATTTATTTCAACAATACTCCAGGGGGGTTACAGGTTCAGGGGGTAGTACTGCCTGATAAAGTTCATTCAAAATGGTTTATCCAAATTATAAATTAATGTAGGTTCTTCATTTGTTCATTGTTTGGAAGCTTTTATAAAGGTTTAAGAGGTCCAGGACATAACTGTATAAGTGACAGGGGGTACGTGAGATGAGCTGACCCACAGCAGGGGGTACATGAGATGAGCTGACCCACATCAGGGGGTACTTGAGATGAGCTGACCCACAGCAGGGGGTACATGAGATGAGCTGACCCACATCAGGTGGTACATGAGATGAGCTGACCCACAGCAGGGGGTACTTGAGATGAGCTGACCCACATCAGGGGGTACTTGAGATGAGCTGACCCACAGCAGGGGGTACATGAGATGAGCTGACCCACATCAGGTGGTACATGAGATGAGCTGACCCACAGCAGGGGGTACTTGAGATGAGCTGACCCCCAGCAGGGGGTACTTGTTAAACCTTGAAATTCAAATAGAGTTATGTATGTTATTAGGGTTGATGAGCCATGGTCAAAAAGTAGACTTATCCTGAAGAAACTCACAATGTCAACAACAAAGTCACATGATCTTTTTCTCATCATTTTAGTTTCCATTTTATTTGGTGTTCGAGGTTTCAGAAGTCAATCCAACTTTTAAAAAGGTGACCCATTTTTATTTTCAGGGCCTTCGTCCTTACCCCAAAAATGAGAGGGTTCATGAGTGGAGGAACCACAAGGGCAGGCATAGATAACCCAACATGGGCGCTGACAGGTAAGTTCATGCTGCCCACTCTGTGTCGGATGAACATAAAGAAAAAGCCAAGGAAGAAAACCGAAAAAATAATCAAGTGTGTGGCCAGGGTGTACAATACCTTGTGGCGTGACTCTTTAGACAATCCAAGACAGGCAATATAGGTCCGCACATAGGAAAAGACAATGATTATCAACATGGAACCTAAGAGCCCAATGGCAAGAATTGTTCCATATATATTATTCACAGACGTGTCCGTGCAGGCCAAGATAAAAATTGAATTGTTATCACAGAAAATGTTCTTGATTTGTGTCCCACAAAGTGGAAGTCTTATTGTTAAGAGAAAAGTTACCAAAAGTAAGAGAAACAAGGCCACAGAAAAGCTGATCAAAACTTTGATTACTGTTGCGTTGGTCATTAGGACATTATAGTGCAGTGGGTGGCACACAGCCAAATAACGGTCATACGCCATAAGTGAGAAAGTCATCATCTCGAAGAAGGCACAATCCATGATGAATACACTTTGGGTCAGGCAGCCATCACGGGAAATGGTCTTGGAGGAAGTCCAAAGGTCCGTCACTAATTTTGGGAAAAACGAGGAGCTGCCAACAATGCCGTTGAGCACCAGGTTACATATGAGAATGTACATGGGTTCGTGAAGGCTGCGGTTAGTCGATACCACAAACGCAATTAAAATACTCAACATCAAACTACACAAATAGATAACACTAAGAAGGGGGCAGTAAAAATATTTAAGTCCTTCCATCTCTTGAAGTCCAAGAAGCTGAAGGTCCTTCATGGTGGTAGAACCATTCTCCATTGTAACTCAGACAGCTTAAAGTAGGTGCTGGATTTGTCTACTGGACAGAAGGCTGTTCAAACAGAAACAGATAGGTAGGTCTTAAAGGTACTCAATCATTGCAATATTATCTGATTACTAAGGGCTAAGTGCCTAAATGTATCTCTTCTCATTGAATCAGTTATTTTGTTCTTGGGAGGACCCTAAGCCTAAACCATATACAGAGGCCTTAACTTTATCTAAGTCAAGATTAAAGAGAATCAGGGGCTTTGTCCATTCAGGGAAGAGTGACAGGTTCTCTTGATAGGACAACAACCCCCCCCAGCACACACCCCCCCAAGAAAAGCCACTTTTCTAGCTTCCTCATGATTTGCCACTACTTTGTCAGAGCCCTTGGAAATACATGGTACAGTCGGTATATGGAGACATGTGGTCCTTCCTTGGGCCTGAGCAACAATTCAGAACAAGATAGAGTTGTTTTACTTCTGAAGATTTAAAGCTCTATATATTACCCTTTAGAAAAGTCTGTCTACCATATCAGTAACCGGCAAATAGCATATACAGAAACACAGGATCGGACTGACTTTATAGTAAAGACAGTCCAAGGGTTAACTATAGATCGGGACGGACAAAAATTGGCAATAGTAGAAAAACTTTTTATTTATAAATAGTAAACACAGCAAAACTCCTACTGTCACCATTAAAATCATGACAAAACAATACTGACTATAATTAATATTTTTTTGGTTAGGATATATAGACCCCGTGTGTTTAGGCGCATAAATATCAAGACCATGAAAAAAAAAATAGCTTTCTAGTCAAGATCGCATGCACTCCGGGTGGAAAGGGATTAACCCCAGGTTCACTATATACCACATAAATTTGAAAACAATCAAAAAATCTCACAGGTCGCCACCTAATCTCATTTGTATATGCCTCTATTTAGCAGTGAGATACTGAATAGGAGCTCCTTTGATGTATTCAATTACCATAGTGAAGGGATTTGATATTTTGTAGATAGTTTGTCAGAATGTTTCCAAACAATCAATCAACTCCTTTCCTGTGTAGTGTCCTGGATCAGATATATGTTATTCCAAAGAGGATTCTGAAAGTTCTCATTTTTTACAGTAAGTACACTGAGTGGCCAGATTATTATGACCCCCCCATCAGTACTTCGTACTCGTGACTCCACGAGATGGTGAAAAGTGATGCGAGGAATCTGACACGGCACTGTTGCCCTTCTGTTGTCTTGTACCAGTCTTGCCCCTCCCCCGTTCTGCCCTAACATTGACTAGTCGCTGACGGCCACAATTCGCACGTTCAGACCCAGATTTTCGGCTGACAGTCCGGTCTTTAAACACTTTAACAACAGCTGCTCTTGAACATTTAACGAATTCTGCTGTTTTGCTGATACTCGCTCCATGGCTCCGAGCGCCAACAATCATCCCGCGTTCCAAGGCTGTTACATCGCGTTGTTTCCCCGTATCTTCAGAAACAAATCACTTCTACTGTCGTGGTAAACAACCTGCTTCCTTCCTGCTAAGATTTTGATACCACTACATTGGAATAAAGATACTACTCCAACTATGAGAGAGTGGTATAGTAGAATTGAATATTATCGACTGATGGAGGAATTGACATCAATCCGGAGAGATACGGCTAAACAATTTGAAATTACTTGGCAACAATGGAATGACTTCAAAAGCTCTCATGGCTATACGGAGGATACAGGATAGAATGGACATATATCGGGATAATAGGGAGACTAATGGAAAATGTCATAGACGCTGGGGTAGCACATAAGGCCTTCTCAAATTATTCTAGTAAAGTATTCTAGTGAAGAATTTCGATAAGTTTGCCGGACCTCCCCCATACTTCTTCTCCCCCCCCCCTTCCCTTTTTTCTTCTTTTTCTCTTTACTTAAGTTTTATTGTAAGTCTTTTCCTTTGTTAATTGGGCCCTCTTAGGCCATAAGTTAATAGCTACTAGGTACATGGTCAATCAATCTGACATTAGAAATAAGAATGAACTGTTGTGAAATGTTAACACCGGATTGAATGAGCTGTACCTGGATACCTAAATCATGTAATGTAGTATGTCAATTTTAATGATCTTTATAAAAATTAATAAAATGGAATATGTAAAAAAAAACCAACCTGCTCCCCTATTTATAATGGTCTGGCCCTCTAGCAACTTCAGCGCAAAATTATAGCTAATTTGCCTACAAACGTCAGGTGGTCATAATAATCTGGCCACTCAGTGTATATCACCTTTTAAGTACTGGTATAGTTGGTTATGTGAGTAACCCGTAGTATGTGAGTCTTCCCCTTAATATTCCAAAATGTAGGGGGGTATTTTTTATGAATGAAAGATACAAAAAATGTCGGCAGTCCTACTCACCTGTCCTGTTCATCCATTTGGAAGTATCCTCTTTTAATCTTTTCTGGTGGTTACGTAACTTTTTTCTTTTCCTCGTAATGGAATCCAGGATATACCGCAGCCGAGGATATGTACGGAGGTTCCGCAGGATATCTCGGGAGCCAAACAGTCTTTTACATTGAGAGTGTGTGAGGGTAATCCACATGTATCTGGAGGGCCAGAAGGGCGCTGTGGGTCAAGACACTATAGCAATGTGTCTGACATTCTCTGGGTCATCCAAACATTTCGGTATGCAGCGTCGATATCTCGGTAGCCAAAAAGACTGTTTGGCTCCCGAGATATCCTGCGGAACCTCCGTACATATCCTCGGCTGCGGTATATCCTGGATTCTATTCCGGGGGAAAAGAAAAAAGTTACGTAACCACCAGAAAAGATTAAAAGAGGATACTTCCAAATGGATGAACAGGACATGTGAGTAGGACTGTCGAAATTTTTGTATCTTTCATTCATAAAAAATACCCCCCTACATTTTGGAATATTAAGGGGAAGACTAACATACTAAGGGTTACTCACATAACCAACTATACCAGTACTTAAAAGGTGATATACGTACTAGGGATGTCCCGATACCGATGCTAGCATCGGAATCGGGCCCGATACAGGTCATTTTGACAAGTACTTGTACTTGTCAAAATGCCCCGAAGCCTAGTGCCGAAGCATGCGCTAGGTTTTTTTTTTTCTTCTTAAGGCCGTGACACACTGCATGCGAAGCCGTGCAGAGCGAAGCAAAGCTCTCCGGCACGGAGCATCACGTGCAGTGTGTGAGCTGAGTGCAGTCAGATGATTGACTGCACCTTCAGCCAATCGGCTCGTCTGTAACAACCGGCCAGACGTCGCATCCCGTCGCGCCGGTTTATACGCGCGAGCCGATTGGCTGAGGTTGAAATTGTTCATCTCGGCACGCTCAGCTCTGCGAGCTCTCGCAAGCTGAGGTGCCGAGAAGAAAGTGACATGACACACTGCTCGCAAAGGCAGCGCGCCACCGCTCCGCGCTGCTTCGCGTGCAGTGTGTCACGGCCTTAA